AACTTGAAAATATTTAACGGAAAAAATTTATTTTCTTGAATAGACTTTGATTCGTTCAATATTTTATATATATGACACTAATTTAAACCTTTTATTTATTTTAAAAATTTTTTCTCACGAATGAAGAAATTGAAATTTATCTTATAAGTATAAACCCAAATGCACACAACGTAAATAATAATTAAATAGCAAGCAAAAAGCTTTTATTGTGAAAATCATGAGAAATTGGATAAACTATGAAACGGGTTGGATATAGGTATGAAACTTGAAGCTCATGAAGAATATACTTATTTTTTAAAATAAAATTGATACATGGATTCACTGAAGGAATGTTTAAATCATATTTTTAAAACCTTTAATTGCATTAAAATAAGCTGAAACGTGAGAGGAATATCAAACAAATCCGAACGGGTCAAGAAAGATGCAGAAACAGGTCAGGTAAACCCAAGGAAAGAGAAGAAGACTAGGCTAGGCTAGGCAAGCTGCCTAGCCGAAGCCCATGTGCATGGGGTGGCATGTGAGGCTTAAGACACTCCCTCAAGAATCCGTTTTTGGTCATGTTTCTTCTGTTTGTTTTATAATTTCCTGTTTAATTTATTTACAATTTTTTTGGAATTTTTTACTTGTGTGAGATATTTATATGTAGTATAAATAAATATCATTTTGTTGATTAGATATTTTTTATGACAAGAAGACTTTGAAAGATAAAAATCTTTAAAAAAATTTTTTTTCTTGGTAGTCAAATTTAATTAATTGAGGGTTTTTGCGCCTAACATTTCCAGCATCCGAAAAGCTCACAGCCTACGCATTTCTAGAAAGAGCCAATGAAAGCATATCTAGAAATAAATTTTGGATATGTAGGAATCTATTTCTTTCTTTTTTATTTTTAATTTCATTAAATCCTTTTATTATTTCTTTTTAAATAATTTTTTAATACAAAAAAATTCAAAATCCAAAAATAAAAGAAGGGGTTGGAACTAATGATATTCTAACATTTAAACCTTAATTATAACAACATATATGCAATAAATATACTAATTTTAAAGCAAAAATTTAATAAAAATAACTTCTTACTTGTTTCAAAGGTTTTATAAAAAAAAAAAAAAGTACTGAAGAAGTGGATAAAACAGTAAACAAGTCAACAAACCACACTGCTACATCTTTTCAATGAACATGGCTATTTCACCGAATGAGGCAAGGACATGGCGATGTGCCTGGAAAATGAGTGGAACAATCAGGTCCTGAGGGAACACCGGTCCTCGTTGTCGTGTTGTGGGTATTTCGCAAATATAATATTTACCAGCCTTGTGGCATGATATTTTTCCGTTACGTTGTTGACCAGTTCCAGGAGTCACAGGAAAATCTATTGTACCACCATCATGTTCCACTGAGACATAAACAAACAATAAATCGTATGTTGTGATCAAAGGAACCAAAAACAATAAAATTGAGAAAAACTGTCTTAGTTTTCAAATAAGAAAATGTAATTATTGAACTTAATATTACAAGAAAGAGAAGACAAAGTTTTCGAAGCTTAAATATAGTAAGATGAAAATTTTTTTGTTCTTGGGATATAGAATGAGATAATGGAATTTAAATTCTCACTTTGCTTGTAGACCATTAGAGCCTCCTTTTGTTCTTTCGGTGCAATATATTATATGCCAAAATAATAACTTTACTAGAAGGAGTAGGTTTCCTTTAGGAACCACTTTACAATTAACAATAGTTTTTTTTTTTTTTTTCCATTAAGGAACCTTTTTCTTCTCATAATTATGACTCTTTCATTGACCATAATAGAAAATTATGACTTGAACTTTACTAGTGTTTGTGACACCCATTTATGTAGGTGAGAGAGAACCATGCTTCTAAAAATAATGTGCATTGCTAATCCTATTTTATGGTAAAAGTAATTAAAAGAGACATTTGCTTTTATACTAAAATTTTTAAGGTCTCGACATTAATTAATGGAAAGGTAAAGAAATAAATTAATAATAAACTTAAAAAATGACATTTATTAGGAAATTACCATGCTAGGTAAACTTAAAACACGATTTCAATGTTAATAAGAAATTAGATACACAAAACACCCAATGTTTAATCTAATATAAAAACAAACATAACAGCCAAGCAAAATAATTTAATATCTGCACATTAACATGATGGTAAAGAAAAAAAATTAATGGTAAATTTTAAAAAATCAGTCCATATTTGTTAGGAAACTACCATGGTAAGTAAACGTAAAACATAATTTCAATGTTAATAAAGAAATAGATATACAAAAAAGTCAATATTTAATTTAATAAAAAAATTTTCAATTAAAGAAAAATTACTTTTTTAATAAGAGCTTCAAGGTGATAAGGAAATAAATAAAATGGTTATAATATTTTAATTTGATAAAAAAATAACTAAGCAAGAATAAAATAATTAATTTAATAAATTGTCAAACAATATATATATATATATATATATATAGAGAGAGAGAGAGAGAGTTCACTATTGTCATTTTATATATAGTATATAGATATAGATAAATATCATTATGTTGATTATGATACATAATCGATTTTCTTATAGAAAACATCATTATTTAACTTAGATAAAAAAAAAAATTAGTTTCTTTACATAAATTAATAAGACGGCAACACTATTGAATTTTTTAAATATTTATATTCATTAACTTAATTATTTTGAAAAGAAAAAAAAATATATTTTTTGTTACATTATGAAAACAAAGCTCTAGTACAAATAAATAAAAAGGAGAGACCTCATTCGAAATCAAGTCTTTGATATCTCTTTAAACGTTTTTAATTACTAGATCAAAAGTTTGGAGATAAAAAAAAATATGTTAAAACAAAATAAAAGGTAATCTTCCAAAATTCAATACACACGTACGCCTTTTTTTTTAAAAAAAATAATATTTTAAAAATTAAATAATTTTTCATATTTTATTAATATTTTATTTTTAAAAAATATAATTTTTTGAAAAAAAAAAACAAAAAAAAAACTGAAGCTCTAAATAATTGCCGCTCAATTGAGATTGGATAGATATAAAAGTTTTTATTTCAAATAAAAAACATTACTTTAAATATGTTATAAAATTAAATCCAAAACCAACAATATACAAATAACAATCCAATTGACCCATTTTATGTTTCTAAGAGCAATTTATCTGATCAAATAAGGGATCAGATTGCTCCTAATGTCCAAACTAGTCATTAATGATCGGCTTCATTGGTATCCTTTCGAAATGCATTGAGAACATTTTTAGTTTGTGTTCTATCTTCTTTAGAGAAGTGAAAATCGAAGGATAGTGCTGATGGTCCAATTGCATAATTTTTTCTTTTTAATTATTTTTATGGTTGTGCCTCGTGGCACGGCAGCACCCATACCGTTGAAATGGTTTGTCAGTAGCTATTAAAAGGCGTAGCTAGAAGGGCCGGTAGGAGCCATGGCCTCTCCAAAATTATTTTACACTATAGTAGTAGAATATTTTCTCACCAAAAATAATATTCAATTTTCTTTTTTTTTTTTTTTAATAAAATTATTATTTGATCCCTCTTTTTTCATATTTCTGGCTTCGCCTCTGATAAGATGTTTCTATTCCTATCTCTTCATTCCCTCTTTTGGTCTATCTACATTCCAGGAAATTCATACGCTCCATGGACAGAGCAAAAAGTGGAGTCTTGGTCAGAGCAAGCCGCCTCCATGGATGCTCCTCCTTCATTGGTACTCTAATTCCAATTCCTATCTCTTCATTCACTCTTTTGTTCTATCTACATTTTAGGAAATTCATATGTTCCATGTGTTATGTTGTGGTGGGTCCAACCCCATTCTTTTTTATCAATTAAAGGCCATTAGTTTTTTGTTTCAGGCAATTGAGAATAAAGCCTAATTACTAATGAGGTGGGACTGGTTTTAGGCGTGAAAATAGAGTTTGCCGTAAGTGAAAAACAAGGTTGCTGAGGCATGATAGAAAATAAAAAGGAATGAGCTATAAGTTTGATCAACAAGTTTATGATTCAATTTAGTTATAATTTTATCAATATATTTATAATTTAATATTTTGTATTTTAAATGATAAAAATTAGAGTTAAAATTTTTTAAAAATAAATTCAGAGTATATTTATTGAATGATTTATTTAATATGATTTATTTATTTATTAATTATTATTTAGCTCTATTTTTAGTTAATTTTTTTTATATATTTAGTATTTAATAATAAATTTTTTTTTAAACCAAAAGATTTTAACATAAATTTTAATATGTTTTTTTTTTATGTTATTGATTATTAATTATTATTTACTTACTTTAAATTTATTGTAATATATTATTTTCGTATTATTTTGTTTGTTGCTTCGCCATGAATAGAGCAAAAAGTGGAGTCTTGGTCAGAGCAAGCCGCCCTATTCAATTACCAGACATAATTGGGAGAAGCTCATCCGAAACTAGAGCTAGAAACGCCTTATTTCCTTTCGTTCCTGTTCTTCATTTTCTTCTTCTCGAATCCAAGGGGGACTTCTCATATATAATATTTATCCATTTTTACTATTGATCAGTCATCAAATTTAAACCTATTTATTCATGTAATAAAAGCCATTAATATTACAAATTCAGCCAACTGAAATTCTCTTTAAAGAAACACTTGTTCGTACATTTCCAAATAAACCAGCAGACAAAGGCAAACAACACAGACCCATTCTAATATTACAAATTAACTTTTTGTCCCGTTAAAGTGTTAGAATAGAAGAAGTCATGATCATTTTAAGCTATATGATAGACTTAATGATCAGAATCATCTTCGAACTCAAATAATATACATACAAGACCTAAATACATGAAAATTTTCATGTATCAAGAGATAATTATACATGATCAAGTTACAGCAATGTAATCCAAGAAAAGCGAAATAAAAACAAAAAGTGATAAGCACACAAACCAACTACCATATATTTCATAGTAGGGACCGAGTAATTCCAGGAAACCTTTTTTTCGAACAGAAGTCAAGGATCCGTACCAATTAGAACGAAAAGTTTCCTGAACCACTCGTGTTTCCTTGCGTTGAAGTTGCACCCAAAAGACATTCCAATAACCAGCCCAGCTCCATATCCTGTCAAAACAACTTTCCATCCGAACTTGAGCACACTCCAAATTCCTTCATCTTCTTCCACGACCAAAGGAGTTGGTGGCGAAACCTCATGATTTCCACATTTTTCTGACAAAGGGTAGCCACACAATCTTGAATTTCCCTCATACGAATCATTATTAAATGTATTGAACTGCGCTCCTCCAGGAATTGGCCCTTCAACATTGTTATAAGACACGTTGAAGATTACTAGGAAGTTAAGTTTGACTAGTTGCGAAGGGATTTTTCCCAAGAGTTTATTTTGAGAAAGATCCGAAGATTCAAGGTTCGAAATTTTCCCCAAAGAAGATGGAATATGACCAGTGAGATTGTTATTTGAAAGGTTAAGCATAAGAATCCGCATCAAATTACCAATGGCTTCGGGAATTTCTCCTTCAAACTTGTTGCTTGACAGATCAATAGCTGAGATGGCATCTGGAACATTCTCATACTTTAGGTCCCTGCCTTTGTTTGCCAATGTAACTGCGTAATTATAATAATCAGACCACAAAAATTCTCTGTTCTGGAAGCTTGTATTTGCATTCATGTATGGTGATAAGTTGTTTGTATTGGCAACTTTCATGGCATTCCAAATATTGAAGTACTCAGATGGCAACTTTCCTCTTAACCTATTGTCTGAGGATCAATTATTTGCAACTTGGAGAATTCTGATTTGGTCTGAGGTTTCCCTATCACACCGTGCAATCTGTTTGCTCTCAAGATGAGAACCTTGAGTTTTGGAAGAGTACCCAACCAAGAAGGGAAGGTATCACTTATCTGATTGTTTCCAAGAATTAGAACTTCTATCTGAGTACAGTTAGCTAGTGATCTCGGTATTCTCCCTTGCAATTGATTTTGGCTCAAGCCCATCATACTCAACCTGCAGCTCTTGGTATATGTTGGAGGAATAGCACCGGAAAAGTGATTATTTCGAAGGTTGAGAACTTTCAGAGAGTCACTTAGAATGACTAAACATGGCGGCAGCATCCCGGTCAAGTTGTTATTGGACAAATCCAAGACCAGAAGAGAAGAAAGTTTGCAGATCATTGGTGGGATTTCTCCTGACAGCGAGTTATTCGAGACTAAATAAGAGCTGATGGTAGGCGGCGGATGGGGCAGTGATCCTTGAAGCATGTTAAATTCAAGGTTGAAAACCTCTAAGCTACTCCATGGAAGAGCGGTAGGAAGCTCCTGAAATCCTGTCAGAAAATTAAAGCCCAAATTCAAGTACTGGAGAGTTTCTTTTCCCACATCCTTGAACCAATTTGGTATCTGGCCATGAATTTTGTTGTCAGCAAGTTCCAAAAACTCCAATTCATGTTGACTACGCAGAAAACTTGGGAACTCAGATAAGTTGCATGAAGCCAATCCTAGAAGCTTGAACCTTCGAGGAGTGGCAATGATGCTGACATTGTTGAGCAAGGACAAGTTGTTACCTGAAAGTTGGAGTCCGGTGAGATTTTTAAGCTCAAGAAATGAGTCCAACTTGAGAATTCCTGTTAGTTGATTTTTTTGTAAATAAAGAAGTTCAAGATTCTCAAGCTTGAAGAGTGATTCTGGAATAGACCCACTCAAAATATTTTCCTGGAACTTAATCTCACTTAGCTTGGTAAGGTTTCCTATCCAAGGTGGAATCTGACCATCTAACTTGTTGCCCCAGAGATATAATATAGAAATTTGGGTCAAATTTCTGAGAGAAGATGGGATTTTACCAGTTAAATTGGCGTTTGACAAATCCAAGTATGTTAGATTGGTTTGTTTGCCAATCCAGGACAAGGTTCCATGGTCGAAACTGTTGGTGGAAAGGGACAGATAAACAAGGTGGGTAAGATTGGCTAAGGAAGAAGGGATCTCCCCAGAAAAATTGTTATAATAGAAATTCAAACTCATGAGCTGGTTTAGGTTTCCAACTGAAGGAGGAATAGGTCCCGAAAAGTTATTACAAGACAGATCAAGATATTTGAGTGCTGTAAGGTTACCAAGTGAACGTGGTAACTTCCCTGAAAAATGGCAGTTGTTGATGTCCAAATAGTCCAAGGACTTGAAGTTTCCAATTGATTCTGGCAGCTGTCCGAAAAAACTTGTGTTTGCAAGGCTTAGTTTCAAAAGAGGATGACTGCCCTGAATATCAGGTAAATATCCAGTAAGCTCCTGATTAGATTGCAGGCTGAGAAACTGAAGAGTTGGTAACTTAAAAATCCCCGTTGGAAACTCTTCACGCAAGTCACAATTTGATAAAATTAAAGATGTCAATGAAGAAAAATTTGCAGAGACATTAGGTACCGAAGAAGAAATTTTCACATCAGAGAGAACAAGTCCATGAAGATTTGTTAACTTTTCAAGCAGAGACCCCAAGCCTGGCTTTCGGAGCTTCAATGAGTTTCCTGACAGATCAAGGAACTTTAATTCTGATAGTTCCAGGATTTCTGATAGAACATGACCAGAGAAGTTGGAGTGAGAGAGGTCTAGGGACGTCAGTCTTGAGAGATTCCTAATCTCTGAGGGAATTTCAGAATTGTTGAAGACGTTGTCCTTAAGACTAAGCCATTCAAGGTGAACAAGACGGAAGAGGCTGCTGCCGGAATTGATTGACCCTTTAAGATAACTGCTGCTAAGGTCAAGGACGATTACATGACCAGTGCTGTTGTCGCACTCGACCCCATTCCATGAACAACAATCACCACCACTTTCCTCCTACAGTTTCCAGGATTCAGTTTTGGGATAGGCATCAGGACTACTTGAGGCAGAATAATCGATGATAAAGCTTTCCTTGAATTGCAACAATGCCAAGCGCTCATCAGGGAGACACAAGGGCTGTACCGAAGAAACAAGAAAGAACAGTAAGAGTAAAAGAAGCAGGGTCATTGAAATTGAGGGATAAAAAGCTCAGCCCATAATAATATCTCAATTGTTTACGTCTAGAACTCTTGGATGTGCGATGAAAATCAGCAGTGACTGACCATTTTCTGACACCCAGACAGTGCAAATGAAACAGTTGTAGTCGTTTGTGTTCAATTTTATCATTGAAGCTTTAAACCGTGAAGTTTATTCTTTTATTTATCTATTTATTTATTTATTTATTACATCAGCTTTGTCAAAGATTCCATAAAGCAAGGTGGGACATCCTGCAATTTTCTTTTCCAAAAGCAAACACCATTGATTTACTTGGATGAAACATGAGTCTCCCTTTCAAAGTCTTCAAATTTTAATCTGCGTGTTTCACGCTGAAACAACTTTTGCCTATTACTAATAATTTTAACTGGAAAAGACAAGAAAACTTATGTTGTAAAAACACCAAAAAAATGCATAACTTTTTCCCTGCTTTTTGTTATATTGGATATCTTTCGTACAAAATTTCTCTTTTGTCCAAACTCGTATGAAGGTTTTGTTGAATAAAAAGTAAAAATAATTTGTTTCTTTTATAATGTTTAAAATGTTTATAAATTTCATGGGAAAAACTCTCATAAATTTTACCTTTATTTGTTGTTTTTTTTTGTGTGTTTTATATGGTAAAGAAATCGGTATGTTTAAAGGTCTTACTATTGGAACCGTAGGATGAATTCCAGAATAAGGAGTGGAAAATGAAAAGAAGAATCATGCCTTTACAATACGTCAAGTTCTGCTTTTCGTATATGGGATGAGCTCAGATAAGCACTCCTGAAATTAAATTATATGATTGGTTTTAGTGGAGGAATTATGGGATCGTTTAACACAAATTATTAGAATTTATTACCAAAAGTTGAAATATTTACATTAATTATATAACTTTGACAAGTGACATCAATGCAATTAGTGTTATAATGTTTAAATTTAAAAATCTATCTATTAGATATAAAAATTATAAATTTATTATCAAATTTTTTTATTTAAGTGTGATTAATCACTTATATGAATTTATCATTTTTAAAGTTATCTTAAACTTGATTAAAGGTATATAAAAAAATAAGTTCTGATCTATATCAATAAAATTAAGTTTTACGTGTAGACAAGGTTTTAGTACCCCTAACGTTTTAAGTTTATACTAAATTAATTTTATGTTATCTTATTTAAACCTTAATCAAAAATAATTTTTTATTAATTGCAATATTTAAATATTGAAAAAAAGTTTTTAGATTTGTTCAAAAAAATTTTTTTTTTCATCTCAAGAGTATTCAAAATAAATTCATTGCTCACTTAAAAAAATTTCGTCGTTGGATTTATTAAATATTTAATGAAAAATCAATTTCTAATTCTTTTTATTTATTTGCAAATTAATGTCATACATAAGTACCATAAAAAATATCATGCAATAATATCATAATTAAAATATGTAAAATAAATCATGTAAATATCATAATGAAAAAAAATGCCAAAATATTATAATTAAAATATATTAAAAATCATATAAAGATATCATGCAATAAATACGCAAAAATACTATGCAAATAAAATTCATATAAAATATTATGTAATGAATCATGCAAATATATTAGATTCATGCAAAATATCTAACAAAAATATAAATTATAATTATTCATACAAAAATATCATAATAAAAATAATGTAAATAACTATCATAAAAATGTTATGCACATAAATATAAAAAATACAAAATAAACAAAAAAATCCCACCAAAGTTTTTTTTTCTTATTACTTTTAATTCAATTATAATAAAATATAAAAATATAAAAAATCAAAAATCAAAAATCAAAATCAAAATAAAAAAAAACCTACAAACAAATCACATATAGAGTGGGTAGGCACGCGAATCCCACGTAGGTTGGGATGCAAATCCAAGCCTCCAAAACGATGACGCACTCTTCTTGTATAAAAGCCAAAAACTTTTGATTTTTTTTTGAACTGCCTTATCCTCTCTTTGTAAGTTTAGTTTTTTTGCGTTTTCTTTAGAAAACCAATCGTGAAATTCAAACAATCCCTAGAAATCATCCAAAGTCTTAGAATTCGACAATAAAAAATTTAAACAGTGCTAAAAAATTCAAATGAAACCCAAAAAATCTCTAGAACCCAGATTTTGGGGCCGCAAAATCCCCGCGACCACTGTAAAAGCCATTGAAAAATTCAAATCCTGTCAGAAAGTTCAAGCTAAAAACTTAGAAACTGAAAAATGATTGCAGGCTGAGAAACTGAAGACTTGGTAACTCAAAAATCCCCGTTGGAAACTCACCATGCGAGTTACAGTTTGATAAAATTAAAGTTTTCAATGAAGAAAATTTTGCTGAGACATTAGGTACCGAAGAAGAAATTTTCACATTAGCGAGATAAAGTCTACGAAGATTGGTCTACTTTTCAAGCAGAGAGCTCAAGAAACAAGAAAAGAACAGTTGAGAGTAAAAAAAGCAGGGTCATTGAAATTGAAAGATAAAAAGCTAAGCCAATAATAATATCTCAATTGTTTACGTCTTGAACTATTGAATGTGCGATGAAAATCAGTAGTGACTCACCATTTGCTGGCACCCAGACAGTGGAAATGAAACTATTGGAGCCGTCAACGTTCAATTTTACCATTGAAGCTTTAAACCGTGAAGTTTATTCTTTTATTTATTTATTTATTGCATCAGCTTTATCAAAGATTCAAGAAGGCGAGGTTGGGACCTCCTGCAATTTGCGTTTCCAAAGGCAAACACCGTTCTCTTTGGAAGCAACTGAAGCACCAATAAGGTGCAGTTGCCATGAGAAACTGTGTCCACTGGATTTTTTTTTTCGAATGATTTAATGGTGCGGTTGATAATATGCTAGTTATCAACTGATCAATTTTTTTTAGTTGATGGTCGGCCACTATTTTTTTTTTTTTAATTTTATACTTCAAATTATATTGTTATACTGAAAATATCTTTATTTGTATTTGTATTTTTATTTAAAAATTTTGAAATAGTTTTTGTTAATTTAATATCATAAATAAATTATAAACACTCAATTTGATTCAAACCCAAATCAATTGGGCATAGTCCAAATGGGGTAAGATGGACTCATTTTTATTTTTATTTTTTTATTTTTTGGATTTATTTGTTTTGAATTTTGTTTTAATTATTATTTTTTTTATATATGATTTTTGTTCTAGAAGGAAAGTTTTGTCGTGAATCTAGGGACTAATAGAGTTTGAATTAGATTCAAAGATTTAATCCCAATCGAATCTAGAGACTGGTAGAGTTTGAATTGGATTCAAAGATTTAATCTCAATCTCAGATGAAATTAAAATTGATCAAAAACTCTTCTAATCAATCCCTATAAATAAACGCTAGAGCACATATCAGAGGACATGAAACAAAAGAAAACAAAAGAAAACAAAAGCAAAAAAAAGGTTCCGGAAAGTATAAACAATTTTAGATTTTTCTTTTGGAATTTTTTTGAATTTTTGGTAATTATTTTTTTTTTGAAAATTTTTTGAAAAATTCTAAAATTTGATTAATTTTTTGGTGAACTTTTCGGCCAAACTTGAATTTTTCGACCAGATTTTCCAAATTTCGACGTAATTTTCTAGTTTTCGATTAAACATTCAACCAAAAAATGGGTTCTGTTAGAAAGAGAGAGAGAGAAAAGAGGATAAGAGAGAGAATGAGGAAAAGGCATATACTGAAAAGAATCGGTTTCGGTCTTATATACCATCCTCAAAACGACATCATTTTTATGTTTAAAAAAACCCAAGATCCGCGTGCTTTCCATTCGGGCGACCCGACCCGAGTGCAACCCAAATCGCTGACCCGCGTCCCAGCCAGATCCTTTGCTGAGTCGAGCTGATTCTGCTTGAGCCGCGTTTTAAGCCGTCATTTATGCCTGTAGCTGAGCCGATTCCAACGTCGAGCCGAGCCGCATTAAGATTTTTTTTTTCATTTATTTATTTATTAATTATTATTATTATTTCTGCTTATTGATTAAATTATAATTGTTTGGAATTCCTTAATTTATTATTTTTATCTTTTTTTTTGTCAATGATGTTTTTAAAATAAATTTTTAAAAAAATATTTTGAGAAAAAGTTGAAAGTACCAATTTTTCTTAAAAATAAAAATTATCAAGAAAAGTATTTTGAGAAAAAGTTGAAAGTATCAATTTTTCTTGAAATTAAAATTTTAGAAAAAAAATATATTTTGAGCAAAAGTTAGAAGTACTAATTTTTCTAAAAAATAAATATTATCAAGAAAATATTTTAAGGAAAAGTTGAAATCATCAATTTTTTTTGTACAAAAGCAATAAGTGTTTTTATAAAATGAAAAGAAAATGATTTATATCAAAAGTTGAATCATTATTCCTCTTTATTTTATTTTATTTCTTTTTTTTCTTGAAAATTTTTTTAATGTTAAATAATCCGACGATGAAGTCTCTACAAAGGAAACAGTAATTTTATTATGTACTCTTGAGGTGAAAAATTTTTTTTAATTTTCTGCCAAAAGTATTATAGTCAATTAAGAATAATTTTTTATAATTAATTATTTGGTAAGATCTTTAAAGCTTAATGGATAACATGAAAAGTGAATTAGTACCATCTTCTGATGGGCGTTGTGAGGGTACTATAATTTTTCTCACACGTAACCGTACTCTCAAACTCTATTCTGATTAGTGACCCGAACCTATTCCTTTAGGGACCCTTCGTCAAGTTTAGGAATTTCTTAAAAAGATAGATTTATAAGGTGACTAATCACACCTAGTTAAAAAAGATTTGTGGCAATTCCTTAAGTCAATGTCTAGCGATGGGTCTATGGATCTAGACGTTATGACAGTTTGACGACTCCCACTGGGGACATGCTGAGAGTCAAGCCAACAAATAAATTTGTGTTATCCAAAAGCCTAATAAAATTGAACTTTTTTGTATAGATTTTTTTATTCATTAATTCTATTTATTTACTTTGTTAACTTTGTCATTCATATGCATGTGCATAACATGAGCTCTATACCCGAACTTCATCCCTCTAAGAGGGAGTAAAGTACCTATGCTTTCGTGAGGTTTTAATGCCTCCGCTGTGGCTAGCGAAATACTCCCACTCAAATTGAATCTTTTTCGTTTGTAGCCTATAATGGGTGAGGATTATGGTGCCTTACTAGTCTGTGATGGACAATGATGGTAAGAAACAATTTGAAAACCTTTAAACTTTAACCTCGAATCACATATAATGAACCTTAGAAGTGCCTAAACTATAGATAAAGCCATCTTCTTTCCTTTAGAATTGACCAAAAGCATATGATTCATTCTTCTTATTATGTGTGACGTTTTAATTAATTAATTAATTTATTTATTTCTCTTTATGTAAGGTACTAACCTATTTTCTTATTCATTGTTTGCATGGTTCATACTCATATCATAAAGTGCATAAAGAACATTTGCTTGAAAGATGATCTTCAGCAAAGAGTTTTTCATAGACTCCATAGAATGACTGGTTTATTCTTCATCTGTATTAGCTCCTTGAGAGTCACCTAATGAAGTAAAGGTCCAATCAGAAAAGATCCAACAAAAAAAAGGGATTGTCTACCCGTTGGTCATGTTTCTACCTTGTCTTAAGAGACATCTATCCTCCTCAAACAAAATAATTTAGAGGATTTGGTTGATATATGAAAGAAGATGAGTCCATCAAGATAAGAGGAGTTTTACCAGAGACATGGGCATATAGCATACTTTCTTATAGTAAATATCGACAATCAACTAATTAGAGTTGCAGTGTAATTTTAAGATCCTGTATACAAGTGTTTCATCTTCAATGAAGTTGATATGACACTAACCATTGAAAAGTATTTGACTTTGTTAGCTCTGCACTTCAAGGCTCTTGACAAGATATATATCAAAAAATACAAATCAGGGTTTCGTAAGAATTTGGCCCATCTTATAGGGATAGATAAAGAGATTATGGATTCTCATGCAAAGAAGAAACAAGAACAGGTTTACCTACGTTGAAAGTTCTTTCATGATTTCTTAGTGCAACATACTGATGAAGAACGAGGGTTAGACGTATTTACCTTAGCCATATACAGAATGGTGATATTTTTAAAGGTTTTGGGTTATATTGAAATAACAGTGATTGACTTCTTCGAAAGTGTGATCAATGGTTGTAATCCTTCAACGATAATATTAGCAGAGACTGTCAGATCTTTGAGTTACTATCGTTGAAATGAAGGACATCTTATAAGCTGCATATAGTTATTGTACTTATGGATGAAAAGCCACTTTGAGTTTAGAAAAAGTGCTTTTTCAAAGCTTAATGTCTGCAATCGAGCTCCGATTAAAGAATTCTGTGAAAGTAGGTGGTTATAACAAAAGTCTAAAAAAGAGTGGATGGCTTTCTTACAAAAATTGACAAGTGCCGAGGTGAGATGGTTGGTCCCGTGGATGAATCATGAACCTTGCTATATTAGTGTAGAGATAACACTGTGGTCCCACTTCTGGGTTTATGGGGAGCAACAAGTTATACGCCAATTCTAGTGAGAAGGTAGTTTAGGGCAGAACAATTCATTCCCATGACGTATAAGCTTCATTAATAAGATTTTTCTTACAGTAAGTCAAAAGCATTTTAGAGGATGAATGAGGTGATTAAAGTCAGGAAAAACCCCCGTAAAGTGAGTCATGGACCATTCACTGATAAGGTCACTCATTGGTACTTGGTTTGGAGAGCAAAATGAAGAAAAAAAATGGTACTCACTTATGAAAACTTTCAACCGCCAACAGGAGAAAAGCTTGAAAAGATACCATCAGAATCAAAACTTGTAAGGAAAGAATTCGAGGCCGAAAAGGATAGGCTAAAGCAAAAGATTCAGAAGCTTTAAGAGGAGAAAATCAGTGGAAAGATAAAGTTGAAAAACATGAAGCTAAAGTTTGTAAGATCGCTAGAAAATGCGATACAGCTACTGAAGACCTAGCGGAGCTGCACCAAGAACATAAAAGGTTATATGTGAGGGTAAAGGCCAAGAAGATAACAATTGTTGAGCTGATTGAAGATGATAAGCGATTGAAGCAAGAATATGCTAAATTAGAGGAAGAAAGTACCCAAGTATAAACAAAAAAATAATATGTTGAATAGCTACTTAAGTAAGTTGAGACAAAGGTTAAATGAACAAGAAGACTACATTGCTACATTGGTTAAAGAGCATAGAGAGTTATTATACCAAGTATAGTGTGATAAAAGGTAAAACCTGGGAAGACAGAAGTATATTGAGCACTTAAGAACCCAAATTTACAAAGGATCTGTAAGGCAAGAAAAATGGTTGAAGAGGCAAAAACATTGAAGCAAGTGGTGGCCCCATTAGGAGAACATGGACTGTGTCTCCTGAACTTCATCGAGGAAGCCAGAAACCAATATGAACAAATTAAATGATTTTATGGTTAAAACTCTAGGATGATAAATTCTATGTAAATGAAAGTTCTTTGGAATAAATGAAATCTTTTGGCTGAACACTGTCTTAAGGCAAATGTTCTTTACATGCATGCATCGTCATTCATTGCATTTTCATTGCATTACATTTAACAAAATAACCATTTTAGGTTTTCATGAGATAGTCGTATAAACTTGCTAATTCTAAGATATGGTATTCAAGGTTCAAATATAGCTCTATCCAGCAGAAACTCATTCATCGATACAACACAAGAGCTAGAGCTAGACAAATGGAGCAAGAAAACTCTCACCGACTTGAAAAGATAAAAAAGGCACAAAAAAAGTTGAAAAATAAGTTGAGTAAGATTCTAAATGCTCTTAACAAGTTAAACAAAGGAAAGAGGAGAGAAAAAAACACAAGCCAACATGGTCCTCCATCACAAGAAGTGATCGATCCCTTATATCCACATAGTTTTGGTCCACCTCAAGCTTAGTCTACACAAGAGGTTCCACTACAACAATTAACATATCCTACATATCCTGAAATACTATCAGTTTTTAATCCAGGGTATTACCACAGCTATGTGAATCCTGTCTTTACTGAAAATGTAGTATAATTGATTCAAATTCTTGATCTGGATGAATTGAAAGAAAAAGAGAAAAAAAAGGTAAAAGTGAAATCTCAGGAAAACTCATAAATTACTATGTTAGAACAAAAGTTACGAGTTGTGGAAGGAATCGATTTTTATAGTTCTGTTGATGCTGCTGGGCTTTATCTAGTCTCAGATATGGTTATCCCTCTTAAGTTTAAAGTACCAAAATTTGAGAAATATGATAATACGAAGTACCCAAAGACTCATATTACCATGTATTGTTGAAAGATAGCAGCCCATGCTTATAATAAAAAGTTATGAATGCATATTTTTCAAGATAACTTTACGGGCTCTGCTACTAGGTGGTATGTTCAGCTGGATAGAACCCGCATCCATTCCTGGAGTGATATGACCCATGACTTTATCAGTCAATACCGACATATCATGGATTTGGTCCCTCATCGTTTATCTTTGCAAAATATGAAGAAAAGAATACGCCCAGAGATAGAAAGATGTAACTTCTCAGGTGCAACCTCCTCTAATTGAAAAGGAACTATAATGTTGTTTGTCAGCACTTTGAAATCTTTTTATTATGAAAAGATGATAGGGAATGCAACAAAAAACTTCTCCGACATGGTGATCTCAGGTAAAATCATTGAGAATGCCATTAAAAATGGTAAGTTAAAAAGAGGAGAAACCAGGAACGTATTTGAAAAAAAAGAGATCAAAACTCAAGCTGTGAGTTTTGACAAATAGTTTAAGGGTTATCAATCCTATCTACCACAGGGTTACTTTTCATACTATCCAACTGTGAATAATTCTTTACCCTACCCATACTAGCCCATACTACAATCATCTTACCCATCAACATACCAGCTTATTTTTAACCTCTAAGCTCTCACATACAACCTTAACATTCAAACTCCTACAAGACCCTAAATTTATCCTATTAGCCTAGCTAGTGGTTCACGAGAGCAACGAATTACTTAAGAAAAACTCGTATTTGATCCAATCTCCATGACTTATACAGATTTATACGAAAAGCACTATAACAGCCACTTGATTATCCCTAGCCATGTAGAGCTGCTTAAGCTACCCTATCTCAAGTGGTATAATCTTACAGCCCACTGTGACTACCACTATGAAATTGCTAGCCATTTTACTAAAAATTATACTATTTTTAAACACAAGATACAACGGTTGATCAAGGATGAAATGCTAAGTTTTGATCAAAGAGAAGCAACAAACACCTAATGTTAGTGGCAATTCATTACCTAATCACAATGTCAATACTCTAAACACGTTGATAAAAAAAAAGGCTTGGAGAACTGCAATGAATCGGGGGGTAAAATGTTAATAAAGATCATTCATCTAATTACACATGGGCATAATTTTAGAGAATAAAGATAAGGCTGGTTGAAAGTTTCTTGTTATTTTAGGATTTCTTTTAGAGCAATGTTAGAATTTTTTTTTAGGCAATAGGATTTCATTTGTTATCATTTTAATAAAAGGTAAGTTAATGCATTTCATTACATTTTCTCTTTCATTTAACCATTATTCCATACTTTGCTACCTTTCATAACTTTTTATTCCCATTCTTGAATTCCAAATGATGAATGTTTAGCTAACGATAACAATAATTTTAGGATTTAATTTTGAGAACTCATTTACATTAATCTATGGAGACTATCTGAGCAAAATAAGTTCGCTATTAACAGATGTGAAATAGATATATCTTGAAGATATGTAGTCTGTTATAAAGATTCATAAGCTTGTTTTTGTCCAATGGATGATATTCAAGGAAAGCTTTCACATTTGAAAGAAAAAATGGCCATCTTTCTTTTACCATTTGAAAAACCATTCATTGCTACTTTTTTGAGCCTATTATGATTTCTTTTTCTAAAAAACCCTGACCAAGGATCATCCTCCACACTGAAGGGCATTTTTTATTTTTTTTGAAAAAAAAAAGTCTCAAAGAGAGAAAGAAAAGCAAAATAAAGGAAAGAGAAAAAAGAAATGAATGTCACACATGATTTGGGGTAAAGTAATGAGAATCCTTTTGTAAGGGATGAGATGAAAAAGGAAAAAGTAGTGAAGTGATGCCAAGCTGCATTAAGTGAGGATCTTTTGGTTTTAAACCTTTTAAACACATGTTTTGAGGCTATTTTTATCCATTTCTTTTATGACCCCTCACCATGGCCTACATTACAACATTTAAAATTCTATTTGGATCAAATATGAATGCTCGAATTGAATGGTCATATGTTGGGCTAAGGCATGCTTATGATGGAATCACAGAATCATGTTTGGTTGCTTTAAAGATTAATGTGAAAGAGATATCAATAATGGGTGAAAGAAAAAAATGAAAAAAAAATGAAAAAAAGAAAAAAAATGGAAAGAAGAGAAAATAGATACTCAAGTTGAAAACCCGAAAGAAATATTTGAGTAAAAAAACCTCTAAGCTGAGAGTTGGATAAACGATTCACATGGATGAAAGATCCAAGACATATGAAGATCCTTCAAAGCTAGGGCGAAGTTTGATGAGCTCAAAATGATTTTGATAGTCAATGAAATAAGTTTTTGAAAAAGAATCCTGAATTAATGTTCAGAATTGTCTAGATATTCATTGTTTGGATATACCATTCATCCCAATGACATGTATCCAATTTATTTCTTTCCCTATTCATTTTGCACCAAACTCATCCTTCATTGATTATCTTTCTCTTAAATCACCTTGTGTTCCCTTATTGTTGCATCCCAAGAATAAATTAAGAAAATATATGAGTGCATTATATTTGTCATGATTTGAAATGATGATGAATGAATGACAATATGCTTAAAAGATTCTTGCATTCCTTTGAGAAGAATCCAGGATGATAGGATGAATTGAGAAGACACATGGTGTGACTAAATAGAGAATATGATGATGGATTGGTCAACAAAATGAAAATGAGGCAAATTTAAAAAAAAAAAAGTGGTATGTCCAAGTAATGAATATGAGGATGAATTGATCGACATAACCTATGAGTTGTGATGAAAAAGTATGGGGCAATAGATGAAACTGGTGCTAAAAAGCCCATGAACAATGATCAAGTGATAGAGGATGAAATTTACTATGGAATACTGAGAAGCCCATGAACAATAATTAAGTGATGGAGCATGAAATTTGCTTTGAAATACTGAGAAGGCCATGAACGATGATCAAGTGATGAAGGATGAAATTTGTACTGATAAGCTTATGAACGATGACTAAGTGATAGAAGATCAAATTTATTCTAAGATGGCTAGTGCTAAGAAGCTCAAAATGATGGAGTCTTGAGAGCCATATTACTATAGTTATTTAGGATTTACATGCATTATGTAAACATCGTTGTTTAAATAGTACATGCACATAATTTGATGAATTAAAAATTTTTCTAGACATGCATGGCATTATGAGAATCTAGGTTGTTGCATTTGCATCATTAAAAAGGCATTTACATATTTGATCATGACATTTATTGTATGCACAATTTTAAGTCACTTGAAAAAGAAACTGAAAATCTTTGAATTTCAAATGAAAATCTTTGAGATGTGAAACCTAAAATTTTTTGAATGTGAATCTTCGAACTCAAATGAGAATCTTTGAGATTCAAATGAGAAACTTTGAGGTGTGAAACCCAAACTTTGTCGAATGTGAATCTTTTAACTTAAATGAGAATATTTGAGTTTCGAATGAGAATCTTTATGGTGTGAAACCCTAAGATCTGTCAAATGTGAGCCTTTGACTCGAATGAAAAGCTTTGAAAATTTTGAATGTGAATCTCCAAAATTCAAATGAGAATCTTTAAATGTTGGATGCGAATCTTGCAATTTGCAAATGCGAATCTTGAGATCTTGTAAATTTGAATCCTTATGAAATTGAAATTTTGAGAATAAAATTTCAGTGAATTCTTATGAAGCTAAAAGATTCTTACAAATCTGAACCTTTTATTTTTGAACTCAAATTGTGAATCTTTGAGTTTTCATTACAAATTTCATCATATTTGATCTACGACTCTTTCGGACATGATTGTTACGGAGCATTTTATTTTTCAAAGTTATAGTTGCCTCTATTTAGAGGAGCAATTTACTTTTCAAAGTTATGGTGCCTCTGTTTAGAGGAGCAATTTATTTTTCCAAAGTTGTGGTGCCTCTGTTTAGAGGAGCAATTTACTTTTCCAAAGTTGTAGTGCCTTTATTTAGAGGAGCATTTTATTTTTCAAAGTTGTTTAGCCTCTGATTAGAAGGGTTTTATTTATTTTTTCAAAGTTCTGTTGCCTATATTCAAATGAGCCATTTATTTTTTCAAAGTTGTTTCACCTCTGTTTAGAGGAGCTTTGTTTACTAAAAAAAAAAAAAAAAACACAAACAGAAAAAGTAAAAAAGAAAAAAACAAAGAAAGTGTTGAGTTGAGTCTTGAATGAGTATCTGTCTTTGCACAATTTTTGTTTTACAGAAAATGTACAAAGAGGGGCAACTCTAGACACCTAATTTGATCCAGGCCCGGATCAATTGGGCCTGGTCCAAATGGGACAAGGTGGGCCCATTTTTATTTTTATTTATTTATTTATTTGGTTTATTTGTTCTGAATTTTATTTTAATTATTATTGTTCTTTTTATATATGATTTTTGTTCTAGAAGAAAAGTTTTACCGTAAATCTAACGGTTGGTAGTGTTTAAATTGGATTCAAAGATTGAATTTCAATCTCAGATGAAATTGAGATTGATCAAAAACTCTTTTGATCAATCCCTATAAATAAATATCAAAACACAGATAAGAAGACACAAAACAAAAGAAAATAGAAGCAAAAAAAAGGGTTCTGGAAAGTAGAAATAGTTTTAGATTTTTTTTTTGGAATTTTTTCAAATTTTTGGCAATTATTTTTATGGGAATTTTTTGAAAAATTCCAGAATCCAATCAATTTTACGGTGAACTTTCTAGCCAAACTTGAATTTTTCGACTAGATTTTCTAGTTTTCGATGTAATTTTCCAGTTTTCGGTTAAACATTCAACCGAAAACTGGATTCTGTTAGAGAGAAAGGGAGAGAAAAGAGAAAAAGAGAGAGCATGAAGAGGCGTATGCTAAAAGGAACCAATTTCACCCTTATATACCCTCCCCAAAACGATGTCATGTCGTGTTTAAAAAGACCCAGGATCCGAATGTTTTTCATTCGGGCGACCCAACCCAAGTGCAACCCAAATCGATGACACGTGTCCCAGCCAGACCCTCTACTAAGCCTAGTTGATTCTGCTTGAGCCACGTTTTGAGTTGTCATTTGTGCCTGTAACCGAGCCGAGCCGCATTAAGATTTTTTTTTTTATTTATTTATTTATTTATTATTATTATTATTATTGTAGATACCCCAATCTGTCTGAGGGTTTACAATATCAAATCTGATAATTAAAAAATAATAAAAATGAAAAAAAAATGTTTGAGTTT